AATTATTTTTATAAAGTATATTTAATTTAATAAAAAGTTATTTTATAAATTTATATTAAAATTATAATTATTTTATATAATGAAAGAAAATTTTATATATATTGGTAATATAAAACGTAAATTAAATATTACTTTAATTTAATTTATAAAATAATAAAATTTTTATTTATAATTTAATAATTGGTATAACTTAAAATAAAAGAAATAAATTAGGGTTAAAATTAAATTTAATAAGAAATTAATTAAAAAAAGTTTTTAATTTATATTTATAATATTTATAAGTATAAAAAATGTATTATAAAATGTTAAAATTATTATTTCGGAAAGAAATAAACGTATAAAATTAGGACTTCTTACAATATAATTAATTATAAAAGTAATTTTAAATCTATTAATCTTTAAAAAAACAAATATTTCGGTTATAAAAAAAGGTTATAAATATAATAAAATAAAATAATTTAAGGTTTTATACAATAGTTAATAAATAAAATATAAGGATTTATTAAATGACAATAATATTAAAGATATAAATTTATTAATTATAATTTTAACTATTAAAAGATATAATTATAATTAAATAATTACATTTTATTTATTTAATTAATAAAAAATTTTAAAATTAAATAAATAACGTAAATATATAATAACATATACTATTTTAATGGCTATATTATTATCGAAAAATATTTCCAAATTTTAAAAAGTAAAATTTTAAGAAATTTTTTATAAATTAATACTAATAAAACTTAAACTTGAACAATAAAAAAATTTAAATAATTATCTTTTAAATAAATAATTTAAAGAAAACGTAAACGTTAAAATATTAATTATAATCAAAAAGATATATAAAAAATTATTAATATTAATAAAATATAATTAATATTATTATTCATAAAATAAATATTTTTTTATGAATTTAATATTAATGGTTATTTAATTATATATAAGTTAAAAATAATAGTAAAAAAAAATTTATAAAAAGTAAATTTATTTATTAATATATATATAGTTACTTTTATAATTAAAACATTTAAAATTATAATAGTAATTATAATGTAATTTAATTTAAAAATTAATTAATATAATATAAAAAATAGTAATTATATATATATATAATTACTGAAAAAATACAAATAAATAAATAAATATATATAATTAAAAAATTATATAAATTAAGGAATACTTTTTTTATAGTATAAAAGAGTAGAAAAAACCTTTATAACTATTAAAATAGTATTTTTTTTTTAAAAAAAACATACCTATTTTATTATCTTAATTATAAAATATATTAAAAAGTGGTTAATATAATTATTAATTTTATAAAAAGCGTTTAAAATATAAAAAATAAAAGATTAATAAAATAATATTTAAATATTAAAGTAATATATAATTATAAAAATAAAATCATTATTTTAAACCATAAGGTATATATTTAAAAAAAAATGGTTAAAAATATAATTTAATCGATAATTTATATAATTTAATTATATTAACAGTTATAATTAAACTATTTAAATATAATGGAGTAATAAATAAAGAAATTATTAAAATTTATTAAAAATTAATTGGATTAATTTTTTATATAATTATTATAATATATTTTAAAATAATATATGTAATATTATAATTATTATATTACTTTAATAATTTAGGATTTTAATATATAAAAATAATTTATTAAACAAAAATTTTATATTAAATATAAGAATAAAGATTTAAAATTTAAAATATTATTTATAGTTAAAAATACGTTATTTACTAATAATAATAAAATTAAACGTTTTTTTAAAGTTATATAATTCTTTTATTTAATATATTAACAATATAAAAAGTATTATAATAAATAATTATATTAATAATTACGGTAAAATTATAAAAGAAATAATAATTTTATAACATTTATTTAAAGATATTAAATTAAATATAAATAAATAATAAAATATTTTTAATAATTAAAGAAAAAGAAAGGATTAATATAAAGTTACGTTAAAAATATATAAAAAATATATTTAATATAGTTTATTTATTTATTAATTAAATATTAATTAATAATTTAATAAGATAATATTTTAAATATTTTAAAATATTATTATAATTAATAAAAAAAATTTAATAGTTAATAAAAAAGTTATTTCAATATTAAAAAGATTTTATTATAAAGCTGTTAAATTAAAATTATTAATATTATTGGTGGTAAATTATTTAATCACTTACGTTATTTTATTACATAAAAGATAAGTAAATTATAATTAAATTTATATAATAAAATAAATTAAGTTGGATATAATACGAAATTAATTAAAAAAGTTATACTTGCGAAGTTTATAATAAGGTTTTTTTTAATAGTGTTGTTATTATTATTATTTTATTTTATAAGATTTTTGTTATTATTTATTAAATTATTTATTAAATTAGTTTAAATGTTATTTTTTAAAGTAAGCAAGTTTATTAAAGTTATTAAATTTATTAGTTTTTTTTATTTATTTTTTATCTTTATTATTTTTTATTAAATTATTTATACCGTTATTTATATAACTTATATTACCACTTATATTTTTTATTATAACATTATTATTATTTTTTTTATTGTTATTAATATAGCTATTATTTTTAAAAGCTTTATTTAATTTTCTTTTCCAAATCTTTTTTATTAATATCTTAAATATTTAAAATAACCTCTTTTATAAAAAGGGTAAATTTCAAATAAATAACTTTAATTAATATTAAAATTTTTTAAAAAATCTTAAACTTTACATTTAAAAATATTAATTTATTTTTATTTAAAATATAAAAGAAATCTTATTTAAATAATATTAATTTTATAAATAATTATATATAAATTAAAAAAGATTAATTAATATAATAAATAAATTTTTGAAATATTTATAAAGATTTATATTTATAATTATTATATATATAAATATAATATTTTAATAATTTTTTATTATAATTATTATTATTAAACTCTTTTTAACAGTTAAAAAACCAATTTTAAAAATGATAAAAATATATTTTACCTTTAAAAGTAATATGTAAAAGTTTAATATAATAACATAAAATAATATTTATAAAATTAATTAAATTATTAATTAAAAATATTTTATTTTAAAAGATAATTAACAAAAGTAATTATAATTAAAAATAAAATAAAAATTTATTTAATAAATTAATTAAAATAATAATGATAACCGATATTAATAATAATATGGTATAACGTTTATTAACTTAAATTTTATAAAACTTATTATTAATGCGGCGTTTTAAATTTTAAAAAAAGATTTAATAAATAATAATATATTAAAATTAAAAATTTTAATTTTATAAGTTAATAAAATTTTTACTTTTGTTATTATTCCCGGTTAATATTTAAATAGATCGGATAGTTTTTTATAATTTTAAATTCCTTATATATATTAATATTATTAAAGTTTATTTATTTTTAAAATTAATAACTTTAAATAAATAATATAAATGTTTCGTTTTATACATTTTAATCGTTAAAATATTTAAACTTAAAACATAATAAATAATATAATAAAATTTATAATAAAATAATAAATAAACAATATTAATTAAAATTTTATTTTTAAAACTTATATAATTTAAACGTATAAAACTTTTAATTATTATATAATTAATATATATTAAATAAATAATATATAAAATCTAATTAATAATATTTTTAATAATTTAATTAATTAAGATAAAATCGTAAAAACGCGTATTACACTGTTATTTTACATAAGATTAAAGATTTTCAAGTCATTTAACATGGTTAATTAATTTAACATTAAGTTATTTTATCGTTATCGTTATTTTATTATCGTAATTTTATTTTTTTATTATTTTTATTTTTTATTTTTTTATTTAAATTTTATAATAACTTTTAAATCATTTAACATATAATTTTTCTTAAGTAAACCCATACGTCTTAAGTTATGATAAGCAGCTTGGATTTTTTGTTTTTCAGAAGGGTTCTATACTGCTAGCTGCGTCAATCTGCCGGGCTGGGATAGATGGTCTGAGCGAAAAGGAGCACAGAGAGTACGTGGAGCCCGCTGCGGTCCCCGTCATGGACTTCAAGGCAATCCACGCCAGTACCGGAGATAAGCGAAAGGGATACTCACGCTAAATCGATGGGGCTCTTAGCCATCATGGTGCCATATACGCCGACTTCCTCAAGAAGTTGTTCGCGGCCTGCTTCAAGCAGTCCCTTGAAAACATGTGCCTCGTGTATAAGATACTCAACATCAAAGATGTCGATTACATCGAAAAGATGTTCAAGCCTCGCCACATGTGCACGCACTCGACCTGGAACTGTTTCCTAGGCATGCCGCTCTCGCCGCTCACCAATGAATCGGCGAATTGACTGAACGATCACACCGATTACGGCCAGTTCATCATGCTCTTTCAGTACATGGATGGTGGTCTCGAGATCTACGACTACGAGGCCGACATCTACCGGGGAGTGGATGGCCCGTCGCGTCGCTCTGGAGTATGAACGCAAAAGCATGTAGGACACAATCGCCCGTCTGCGTCTAATTGCAAGGGTAATGTTTGCTTGATACAAAGTAAATATAGAATGGTTGGAGCATTGATTATGTAAGTATCTTGCCATGCGATGTCAAAACTCAACAGTCTGCTATACTTACCAACTAAGCTCGGGGGGTCTATCAGGGGTAGTATATCATCTGCCAGTAGATTGCAGCTACATGTAGATAAACCAACCCACCGGTCAAGGGCAAGGAGAAAGAGAAAGAAAGGGGAAGCAGAAGGTTATGGTATTGCTCACGTCGATTGCTCGCATATCAAGCCCGGTCAGTTTTTGAGATCTCTAAACGCTTGAACAAGGAGATTGCTTCCTTGTCGAAAGATGGTTTAAGGTAGATTATGTGGTTTGGACTGGTAAACCTGTTGAAGGTCGTATTGCATACAGCCGTGTAAGCTACCGCATCGCCGTTAGCTTCTATAGCACTGAGTCCGCGCAGGAGCTGAAGACTTTACCTCCCGATGACCTTGACGGCCAGGTAGAAGGGGCTGTTAGAAAATAGAGTACCTGGCTCGGCGAGGATACGTAGACCCCGACTCCCTTCTCCATTGCGGAGTTGGGGGAAGCATGTTTCAATGGCGGGTCGCACAGCCTCTGCGATCTTCGGAAAGGTGTGATCCATGTAACCACCGCCAATATCGAGGATGGTCGGGTTGAGACCTAGCTCTCGGGCCTGCGTAAAGACTTCTGCCGCCTCCCCGATTCCACGAACGTATGTCTCCGGGTCGACGGCTACACTCAGAGCTGGCAAGACAGTCGTTAGCTAGCACATACATACATACACACGTAGATACATATATATCACATATCGCATCACATTACATGCAGCATAATACATGTTTACCAGCCAGTTATTACAAGATCCTTCAACTCACTTACCTGCATGGAAACTAGCACCTGCCAGTGCTAGCCCGAGCTCCTTGGCGAGGCGGATAAGTCGCAGGAAGTCGTGGTGAGAGGCACCAAACTTGGTGCCTGAAGGGTCAACGTCGGTAGGGTCGTCGGCAAAGATGCGGAGGACCACGTTCGCTTCGAGATAATGGTCCTTAAGCTTGCAAAGCTCACATTCGTTATCGAAGGTGATGAGGGAAACACCGAGCTTCCGGCATAAACCCAAGGACGCGGAAGGCTTGCATGGGTGAGTGAAGATGATTCGATCCACGCTGATGCCCATGGACAGGATTAGCTCAATCTCCTCGATCGACGCGCAGTCGAATCCAGCGCCGCAGGAGGCCAGGGTCTGGATCAACCGTCCATCGTTGCTACTTTTCACGGCTATTTGTAGTCTAGTTTAGCACACTTCCCTTTTTTTCTTTGAGTTATGAAGTATGGGTACTCGAGTATGAGAGGGGGCAGATATATCATGAAGCCCTGTACGTACCGAAGAAGGGTGTGATATCTGGAAGAGCTTCTGTCCACACAGTCCACTTCCGAACAATATCACCCAGGTCAGCGACATAGAACGAGTCCTCTGACGTCGAAAGCATGTGATCTGGCGTGTTCAGGCTTTCGACGGCCTTGACGTGGTTTTCAAACGCCTCCCTTACGGCTACGTTGACGGCCATTCCTGCGATTCGAGATATGTACCAAAGGTAAGGGATTTTTACACCTAATGGTATCTTAATGAAATCAATAAGAGTCTATAAAGATAATGTTTAAACCTACACACACGCGCTTATATATAGCGCTTGTATGTGGCCATATATGAGCGTCAGAAGCTGACGAGCATCGTAACAGGAGTGTCCAAAAATGCAACCGAATGTTACCAAAGCGGGTCCTAGGCGAGACATTCTTTGCTTCACTGCAAGATATAAAATTGAATCACACATGTTATTAAATGGATGTTACGTATGAACGCACTATACAGTAGGATAATATTGTGTCCGAGCAATATTAAAGAAACACACCCGAGATAACCTGTTTACAACGACGGCAACGACGACGAGGGAGCATCGAGATAAACAAAACGTTACCTCGTCCCCGGTACGCATATCCATGTCACATCCAGCGAAATTAAACCACCACTACCTTGGATTGCCTTGTACAGTGCCTATGAACGTGCTGAAGGTCCGTAGAGATAGCCGTTGATCTCGTCCTGAAGTTGAGTCTTTCTACCGTTGACTTCACAAATCTTACTGGTCTCTGGATGCCACGCCTGTTCGAAGGCCTGCTGGAAGTCGGCCTTGATATCCCTGATATTCTCAATGCCGACGGGTAGCCTGATCATCTTCAAGGAATCGCAAATCGAGCACTTGCTTCGTATCCGCCATTGAGACCGAAGCAGAGGACGGAGCCGAATCCCCGTTTGAAGTACCTGAGGGCTTCTTGGTGATCCAGATGGTCTTGGTGGCCGATGTAGTTGACCCAGGCAACCAGAGGCTGCTCCCGCAGCCAGTCGGCTATTTCCGCCGTATTCTGCGCATGCCGCTCGCAGCGTACGGCGAGAGACTCGAGACCAATCAGCAGCTTCTGGGCCGCGGTGACGCTGAGAGTGCTTCCCGTATCCCGGAGGATCTCGAACTAGCAGCGGATGGCGAAGGGCCGGTGTGAGAAGCGCTCCCAGAGCCTCATGCGAGGGGCAGGACGTTAATAGTTTTCATTCTTCACGAGCAATTCCAGTAGGCTGGAGAGAGGGAGAGATAAACAGTATAGTTAGTACGGTATAGTGTAGTAGCTATGAAGCAAGTAACACTGGGGTAGGGGGTAGATGCAGGTGCAGGTACCAGCAGAAAAGGAGGGTCGGAGATGGGATTGATGTCTGTAACGGTTCCCATATTTCTCTATTTGACTCCGTTAAAACGGGAATGACAATAGAACGAAGAACTAAGCGGATAGACGAAGGGGTTAGTAAAGCTTCCAATCTACGGGTTATATCTTCTTTCTTTTATGCATTACATGGTACTTTAAGTACATACTTAAAGGCAGGTGTATGTATAACTGTAACATAATTAGCCGGTACATATCTACTGGGGCGCTAAAAGGAATGATATTATAGAATTATGATAATCTAGGTTGGTTGATTATATTAAAAGGGCCGCAATACAAATCTAAGAACGCTCGGGATTAAAAATAAAAACTGTCTACCTCTGACTGCTGTCAGCTTTGTTTTACGATCATTCTTTGTAAAGTGATTGAATAGTATATAATATATCTCTTGAATTATTATGCGATATCTGATGATGATGATGATGATGATGATGATGATGATGATGATGAGAACGTTTACGTCTATTGGGGGCTTTATGCTATCTAATTAGATACATGCAGCGGCGCATCAGTGGCGCTCTAGACGTCTAGAGTACTCCCCGGGGGAAGCAGAGCTAGAGTATCGCCTGACATAATATGCGATATCTGACAAGTCCCCCTATTCCTGATATGTGACTGGATCTATAGGAATCCCTTGCAGTTACAATGTTGAATTTATACAAGATTCATGTGAGAACTCGATTTAGGCGAGCCACAATATGGTACAGTCTGCGTACAGTAAAAGGCATGACCCAGATGTAAGGAACGTAACTTGACAACCATATGTAGGGTATAATCGAAAACAACGTGCATTATCACGAGATCCATACTACACCAGTGCGCGAGTATCCTTGATGGCCTGGCTTAGAAAACTCGTGCAAGCTGTTGATCCCTCGGTGGGTTTATTCACTCGACTAGACTTGATCATCCTGGAAACCTCCCTATATCACTCTCCTACTAGTCGTCGAGATGGAGATGGACTCGAATAACCTAGGTGTTATCGTCATTGGCGCAGGTTTCTCAGACATCCTCGCCGTGTGCAAGTGAGTAGTATGCAGTATAGTATTAGAACTTTTAACGGCACGAAAGACTGACTTGTCCCTACAGGCTGCGCCTGCTAGGGTTTCGAGTCCGCGGATTCGAGCGCCAGCGGACTCCATGTCTTACCCCACCTAAATACGACAACAGCCCAGACAGGACGGCCGGGACGCTGGGGATGGGGCCTAACGGCTACCGAGAAGCTCTGCGGCTCGGTCTCCAGTCTTCCAATGATTTTAACTACATGTGCCGAGACTAGGACGCGCTGACGGTTCCGGCCGAGGAGCGGGATCAATTCTACCGGAAGCGGTATCTCGCGGGAGGCTGGGCCTTCTGGATGGCGGGCTTCCGAGACTTGCGCCGAGACCCCCGAGCCAATGGGGATGCGTACGCCTTTTGGGCCGCGCAGACGCGGGCCAGGATTAGCTGCACAATCAAGCGAGAGCTGCTGGTCAGGCGACCCTGCCTTGAAGAGGACCTCTACGAGGTCATAGATCAGCCCCAGCTGGACATTGTCGACATTATCGAGAAACCCATCGAGGTCATCACTGAGACGGGCATCTGCGCGCACGGAAAGACGATCAAATTTGACGTAATTATTTCAGCCGCGGGATTCGGCGACGAGGCCAGCGGGCTCAAGCGCCTTAACATCCGAGGTCGGAATGGCACTCGCCTCGTAGAAGCTTGGTCCGAAGATGTCCAGTCGCATCTCGGAATCGCCATCCACCAATTCCCCAACTTGTTCTTCCTCTACGGGCCCTAGTGTCTAGCGACTCGGTCTCCGCCTTCTTCTTTAGCGAGCCAACACACATACTCGTAGATGGCGACCTTGCCACCGCATATGTCCCGCCTGAAGTGGAGTGCGGTCGGGATGCACATGTGCGGCATGTTGTCACTCGTAGCCGTGTAGGTGAACAGGGTCTCAAACTCACCTCTGATCAACCGTACCCACGTTCTTGGTCTACAACACACACATTTCTAATGCTATATAATATTGCACCGTCCATCCAAGCCTTCGTCTAATCGCAATAGTGCATACTAAGAACCTTCGAATGGGACGTATGTGATAATATGATGACTTTTTAATTCTAAAGTTTTTACGTCTCCAAAATACCTAGCCCTTAAATATGCTTGCCCTGGTTTGCCTTAGGGTCTTCTCTTGCATATATCGCAATCAATTCACTACATGATTCGCCTAGTCAATATGAGGACAGTAATGATAGCGAATTTCATTGCTGAGAGGTGACTGCTCTTAGGTTGGGGCACATCGTCTTTCCGAGCATGTTCCCGTGTAGGGGATTCGTTCTGGTCCGTCAGCCCATCCGAAGCAAGTGGCCGTCACACAAGGGGTGCAGCATCCGGTGAGAAGACGTTTAGCCGGGCCGACGCCATCACGAGACATTATTGGGTGTACCACTCTGATCGGCCGGTCCGGTCTGAACGCGGTTTGATATCGCTTTGAGTTAATCTAAGACCCAACTTCGTCTTCGACTTTCCTCTCTTCCTGTCAGCTAGAAGTAAGATATTGAAGCAGATGAACGACAGGAACTGCAGGGGTCGTCAATGCTCCAGGATGGAAATTTATACTCACTGAACGAAGAGAGGATCGGTTTTAATACTTGGGAGCTGAGATCTGAGAACAACCTAGTCGCCATAAAGCATTAGATCTGCTTTCTTGGTGGATTATGAGCGTTGTATTCCCTCTACACCACCGCGTAGTCGGCGTGAAATTCGGGGTAAGAAAGTTCCAAAGTCTATGGAGCAGGTCATCAGCCTCGCTAACGTGTCTGGTCACTGTGTGGGTAGCATCAACATCAAGCTTATTCTTGCCCCGCAGAGAGCCTCATACGTTACCTAAGCTGTGTTATTACCTATATGCTCTTTTTATGATCTGATATTTTTTATATATCCCTATTAGCTATCTAAGGCTACCTATCATAGCTACCTGTTATATCTACATTCGTTTGGAGTTAGTATAAACCATGTAGGCGACGAGACAAGCATAATTGAGCCTTGTGATTTTTGGGTACACTTTGTTGCACTACTCAATGACTGCTGACATGTGATGGTATTTAATTAAACTCGTAGTTTGTGGCAATACTTTGGGAAACGTTTCTTACGAGTAGGTAAGACAGTTTGTACTATTTGACTAGGTTAGAAGAGTAAACCAGTGTTAGTGAGATTCGCCGATTAATCGTCAATTACATAAAAAGCTGACTGGTTACTAGTGCTTTTCATTCATACAAGGCGAAAAAAAGGACTGAAGAATAGGGATAAAACATAAAGTTGGGTTGATTTGTATCCCAACTACGTCATGTGTGACTGACTAGGACCTGGTGATAGTACGGGAGTTAAAGAATAGCCGTCCCTGAGCGGTCCCCATTTTTATCTTATATAAGAAACATGAACCTCGGCCAAGCATTTTATCAGATCAAGCCGGAAATAATTCGTTTTAACAATAGATCTTAGGATATAAGAATAATCTATCTAGAGCGGGATCTTGCCGGAGACGGTCGGGTAATTTCGCCATTTGCGCATACATATGTAAACGGTCCAAATGCCTATATATCTCCGAATAGAGACAAGTAAAGGCTAATTACTGTTTCTTACCTTTGGTACCTTTGGTAATAATTCCGGCTTGAATCTCACCTGTACTCTGACCTTTTCGAATTCTTACCTACCTACGTAATATGCTCCCCCGGCCTATGATGCATCAAGGTCTTTCGAAAGATAATTATTCATGAGGAGGACTTGTTAAGAATGCGCTGCTATTCGCTTCGCACTCCTCCCGTGCGACGTTTCTCTGCCCAGATCATTGTAAGACTTCAGCCAGGACGCCACATATGCACTCGATGCTTGATAACGAGGGCGGGTGAAAGTCGACGAAACACGATCAGTTCTTCTGCAGCCAGTCGCAAGCCATCGTCCGCCATCTTGAAATGGCCCGCTCTCTCGCCAAGCGCATCCAGACGTTTTGCGACCGTTGCGACACCCTCTTTAGAGAATGGTCAGAACACCAATTTAATCTTCACTTGCTTTCATTTCTAAAATTTTGATATAGCTCGCATACCCGATGACCATGGCCCGATTCAAGAATACGATCGGCGAGTGCAGGAAGGGCGCCTCCGAGAGGACCAGCACCAACGCGGGATTATCCAGAATTTGCAAAATTTACACGACGAACTAGTTCATTACCGAGCGCAACCCGTTGTGCGCCCGAACCTCGAGACTCTAAAACCGACCAAATCATTATTTTCGTGGTTCGGACCGAAGCCAGCCACTAGAGCCATACAAGATATCCCAGCCAATCTGCCGCGAGGATTATATTTGTACGGCGACGTCGGGAGCGGGAAGACTATGTTGATGGACCTCTTCTACGACACATTGCCCAGTTCCGTCCAATCTAAGACCAGAATACATTTCCATAATTTTATGCAGGATGTGCACAAGAGGTTGCATAAGATGAAGATGACGCATGGAAACGATATAGACGCAGTCCCGTTTGTAGCAGCAGATATCGCAGAGAAGGCGAATGTTCTGTGTTTCGATGAGTTCCAATGCACTGATGTAGCCGATGCGATGATCCTACGAAGGCTTTTAGAGGCACTAATGTCCCACGGAGTTGTTCTCGTGACGACATCAAACCGAAATCCGGATGAGTTATATAAAAACGGGATTCAGCGCGAATCCTTTATTCCGGCGATCCACCTTCTAAAGTCGCGGCTGCATGTCATCAATCTCAACTCCCCTACCGATTACCGCAAAATCCCCCGGCCGCCGTCCGGGGTCTACCACACGCCGCTCGACAACCAGGCGGCATTGCACATAGAGAAGTGGCTCCGGTTTCTTGGCGATCCCGATGCGCCAGAACCTCACCCAGAAACACAAAAGGTCTGGGGCCGCGACATCTACGTTCCGAGAGTTAGCGGCCGCTGCGCTTGGTTCACCTTCCAAGAACTGATTGGCCGTGCGACAGGCGCGGCTGATTACCTCGAGCTGATGCGCTGCTACGACGCGTTTATCATATCTGACGTGCCCGGCATGACTTTCCGAGAGCGCGATCTTGCAAGACGCTTCATTACGTTTATAGACGCTGTCTACGAATCCCGCGCCAAGCTCGTCCTCACCACGGCCGTTCCTTTAACGGAATTATTCATCTCGCCCCAGGAACTGCGGGAGTCCCTGAAAAGGGATGGAAAGCCTATAGACGACGACGATGACGAATCGACTAGCCACGCCATGCAGCACATGCTCGAGGACGTGGACAGTAACATTGACCAGTTAAAAAACTCGAGTCTGTTCTCCGGCGACGAAGAGCGCTTTGCATTTGCGCGAGCGCTATCGAGGCTGAGTGAGATGTCTAGTCAAGAGTGGGTTGAGCGCGGTATGGGTCTAGAAAGTTTAGGGGGCAAAAAGGAGAGGGGACGACTGGGCAAAGGCCCGTAGCCGACAGATGGAGGATAGTATGTGATGCGATATGGATTAGACAGGATCTTGTCCTACTGCACACTAGCATAGTTTGGCGTTTATTCCTGGCTCGACGGTTTGTTACGGGACGCATAGAATGGCGGCGAGTGGGCTACAGGTTTGTGGCTAGAGTGCTTGATACCTACTTACATCGTAGAAGTCACTTATTGCTAGATTTTGCGCTAAGATATACGAGATTCGTGGAATTCGCTGGGCTGTGCTTCATTAGTCTATCCAAGTTTATTGTTTGCGTGATATGATACCTTAGGTAGGTTTTTATCTTGCTTCAGGCGTACGGTAGTGGTACAATGTATTACCTGCGCTAACTTAGTTCATTGAAGACGATGATTGAGCTGTTTAGATTGGCGGTGTTCGAGATTAGTGCATACATGCATATCCCAGATATCTATTTAGGAGTCGTGTAATGTAGAGGTACACGATATTTTGTGCGACTGTTCTTTACATGTTATTAATGGAAATCGATAAACGATCCGAGGTTTCACTCATGCGTGTTTGCTCTTGTTACACAGCATCTGCTGGGAACCTAGGTACGCCGTACAATTGCCTGATAATGTCGACTTGCACGCGACGCGCCGACGTTAGGACGTCCAATTTCGTAGTTAAGTGCGCCGCGAACTTACATTTATGTACATAGTAGCGAGCATGGATCCGGCATAGTCGGGCAAATTCCCGCTAGGAGCTTGACCGAAGGGACCGTGACAACCATGGGGGGGAACGTTAAAACTAACCAGGGTCTGGGGAGACGATTGCTTTAGGGGATGGCCTAGACTCGAGATATTCTTTTTACTTTTAATGCATACCCAAAGGACGTACATTTGCTAGTTACATGTTAGTGCTACTTGTAAATACCTAACCTAGTATCTAGGTATGTATCTATTAACCTATATATAGATACCTAATTGATGTAGTGGTAATTGTAGTGGTAATTGTAGTGGTAATTTATATGAAGATCTTGAGAAATTTCTTCGCTACGTTAGGTACTTGACACATGGTTATATGTCGAAACTTATATAGATGCGGTGAGCTACCATATTGTTATGTAGATCAGGGGTTGCTACTACATGTTCATCCGTAGGTATTCATGGGTGCATCCCCTATGTATGTGCTATGGTTGTATGCATCTCAGCTGATAGAGAGAATCTTACTGGGAGTTCCAATCTCAAGCGGCAATTTCTAGCGTAGGATTCTAACCAATGCAAATTTCGATTAGAACAGACCGAGAAGTCATCCCTGCTGGATCCTTCAAACAGGAAAGAAATATGCAGGTATCGTAACGTTTTCTATTCATGGCTTGTATAAGATTATCGTCACGATATCGTTGTTGATCGTTAGGATGTGCTTATAAAGTTCTGCGCCGCTCCCAGTCTAAGACATTTAGAAATAATGTTTCTTCAGCGCTAATGACCCCTTTTCACGATGTAAATGTGGGGGTGGCTTCTTTTAACTGCAGAGCCTCATCGGGAAAGGCGCTGTAAGACGGCACCTACATGAGGTAATAACTATAAATCCATCGGAATGTTTAAAACAGTAATGATATCAATGAATTAGGTAGGTGAGGATAGCTATCATAAAGCAATGTTATGTAGATAGCCTATAAATATATAGAATAGTGGTTGGGGTGGGTGGGATGTGGAAGGAGATGAGATGAATAAGAAAAGTCAGGTGAAACCTCGCAGATAATCATGTACTGGGTGGCAGATGGTTGGTTATTTGGACCAATCAGGTCTTGGAATATACGCTACTCCCATGTTATAGGAAATCTAGATGCACCAACTACAAAATAGTGTACCTACCAGGGGGGTCATTATGTATGTACACTAGAAGACGGATGAGTTAATCTTAGGTAGTTTCCTAGACGGGACCTTCCCATGTGGGTGCTAGTGGGGTGCAATCATTTGCGAAGATCATTTGCAAAGGCGGTTCGTTCCTTCCCACCAAAGAAGAGAAGTTTGTTGCTACTAGTTGGCTGCTAACCCGGCTTCTGCTAGGTCGTTCTTTACCCACCCTTACTCATACAGCTGCCACACCAAAAAAGGGGAGAATTCCGTCATTTTTCTTGGTGGAGTCCAGTTTAATCCAGCTTAATCCAGCTTTAATGCCCTGGCAGCCTGGCATTTCATATTACCTCCACTCTCTCAAGTTTGTCTTGGCCTTTTTCAGGGCTGGGTTCCTTTTCCTCTCCTTTTCTCTCTGTCGGCGTTTCCTACAATACATAATCTTTATTTTTCTTCAGTCTATCGTGGGACTATACGTAATGCTGAAAGGACAACAAGGCGTGCGATTTACTTGTGGACCTAGACGCGAAGGATAACGTGCGCGACACAATCGTTTTCGGTCCCATTTCTCATAATTAGGATGGGCGCGATAAAAAACACCCTTTCCTTAATTCCCTCTTTTCGGTCCTCGGGGTCCAAATCACTTTACGAGGTGCTGCCTTCGCACGATTCAAGCCATGCTAGTTCGCCCTTAGACGGATCACCCATCATGTCGGATACTTGGCGCAAAGGGTTCTCAACACCCCGTCGGCGACTGGGTGGTTTACTTCGCACGTCACCAAAGAAGTTGTTCTTTTTCACAATTGCTGTGTTTTTCACGTTTGTTCTGCTTGCCGGAGGAAGTTTTCGAGCTAGGCGCTATTACGTCGAGAATACTAAGACAGAAGAGAGAATCCCCTATCACTGGGAGAAATACCCCAGGTAAGAAGTCATTCAGTCTATGAGTTGGGAAGTAACTCAAAGGAGGCAACAAATGGTTCTAACACGTGCCTTCAGGTTAAGTGGATTTTACAATGGCGTGCGCTCGCTTGTGAACTACACAGACTGGATCCCGGAACAGCAGGTCACAGAGAAAACCAAGCCTCTAATTCACAAGACCCCTCCTATGGACCCCGTTATTGTTAATCCGTATCCCGACTTCAGCTCCAGCGAGTATCTTAAGGATCACCAGCCTGTGCAAAGGTGTTATGTGGATGAAAATGAAAAGTTCCCGGCGCCTGATATCTTTGCATATCCCGGTATACCTGCTGGGATGCCTGCCCCGTTCTGGGGATCGTACGAGAGTATCGGGGTTGCGCCAGACAAGTGCTGGGAACGGTTTGGTCGTTTCGGTCCTTATGGTTATAGCTACAATCCCGCTGAAGGAGGGTTAGGACTTTCGAATCATTCGGCCCATGCAGGTGCTGAGAAGATCCAAGAGATGTTTACCAAGGTCGATTATCGCAATGTGAATTGGGGCAGGGCACAGAAGAAGTGCTTTGAGAAAAACCAGAAACGATTTGATCCTGAAGCAGCACGTAGCAATGGCTCCGCTGAAGACAAGAAAGTAGTTAAGCGCTCTGCTTATGTACTACGAACCTGGACTGGCTACCAGTACACCGACATCCAACTCTTGTCTCTACGAGCTATGATTAACGAGCTGTCCCTAAAATCCGGTGGCGAATATGACGTACATCTTCTTGTTCATGTCAAAGACAACTCAATACCCATCTGGGCGTCCGACGAAGTTTATAACCAGACGATAAGGGATAATGTGCCTGAGGAATTTTGGGGCATTACAACGTTGTGGTCGGAACAGCAGATGCGAACTTACTACCCCGGCCCGTTCCCTGAAGAAGACAACGTGGAGAATCATTCCAAGTCTGATATCCATGGCGTTTACCGAAGTGCGCATTTTGCCCTGCAGTGGTTTTCGCAGCAGCACCAAGAATATGATTTCTTTTGGAATTGGGAAATGGATCTAAGATATACCGGCCACTACTACGAGTTCCACAATGGTATCTCAAAGTGGGCAGCAGAACAGCCTCGAAAACTACTATGGGAGAGGAGTTCTCGATTCTGGATACCCGGTATTCATGGTTCGTGGTCCAAATTTTCTCAACTAGTTGAACGAGAGACGATAGAAAGGAAAGAGAAACCAGTTTGGGGTCCAGTGACATTTCCCACTTCCGACCGTGGTATGCTCCCATCTCCTAAGGAGAATACGCCACCGACGAAGATCGAAGATGATGATTATCGATGGGGTGTAGGTGAAGATGCGGATCTAATCGTCTTTGACCCATTATTTGATCCATCAAAGACAAATTGGGTCTTCCGCAACGACGTATCAGGATATAACACGTCCCTTGAGATACCGCCTCGCCGAGTAGCAATCATTACAGTTGCACGACTTTCGAGAGGGTTATTAAATACTATGCATGAGGAAACGTTCCGTTTGCACCACACTATGTTTCCAGAGATGTGGCCCCCAACGGTTGCTCTTCACCATGGATACAAGGCTGTTTACGCGCCGCACCCAGTTTACTTTGATAGGCAATGGCCACTAGAGGTCATGGATAAAACTTTCAACTATCCACCTACGCCACAAGATAGCCCGTTTGGTTGGGGCGAGCACAACATGCAAGGTGGTAGTTTCTACTACAATGCCGGTTTCAGCGGTGCATTGTGGCGACGATGGCTTGGGGCGAATGAGAATGGTGAGGGTGGAAAGAAGATGGAGGAATCTCGATCGGACCGTATGTGTCTAAGAGGAACGCTCTACCATCCGATAAAATCTGAGAGCGTCGAATGAGCACGTTTATAGTTGTGGTTATCTAATTTTGGCGTATCGGCGTTCAGGAAAAGCCAAGTATAGGGCTTCTGATTTTACGAGAGCATTGAGGCATTTTCAGGGGGTGGTTTGTTTTCATCCATGGCATCATACAGCATTCGAGACTCCGGTCCTCCCTCCGCATGTGGTTTATGGGGTTCTGATACCCGTTGATTTGTGCACGAACCCCTGTTTCTATTTTATTACCTTATTCACGAGAACAGATTCAAGCAGGCACCAGGATCGTCAAGGTTGGATGTCGTGCAGTGCAGACGAGGGGCATATGAGGCTGGTACGAGAGAGCAGGTCGACAAGCCAATGAGGGCTGTCCACTCTTAATTGTATAATAGTAGACCTTGCGACCAATGTTTAATACCTAAGACAATTATGCTGCAATGTTGCAATATTTCTCATTCTGAGCTCTTGAATCCTATTTTAGTAATGCATTTCAATACGGGTCAGGAACGTCCATGTCATTTGCAATGAATACTTTGAAATTGTAGTCCGTGTTAAATTGGCCTTTAGTTCTTATGCTCAATTATGTAACTCAGTTCATGATCACATGCACTCCTTGCATATATAGTAGGTTGCATGCATGCAC